CCTGTTGCCATGTCAGTAACAAAAATAGAAGGTTATTTTTCACCAGTTTTTTTTTCACCTGTTGCCTGAAAAGCATGGACATATTCTAGTAAGTGATTAATTGCAGGAATTGTGTGGCATATTCAAGACAAACAAAAAAATCTCTAGAACTACGGTAACAGTTTTGTATTACATCTCTGCAAAAAAACCCATAAACCAGTGTCCTTCACACTTTATATCCTTCCCTGCAGATGCTCGTGATTGCAACAAAAAAAATTCTGTACTTTGTGGAATAGGAAGCCATGGGGGAGAGATATTATGTTGAGAGGAACTTCATGTATGTGCTGTTCACCATTACTCTCTGAACAGAATGGGAGTTGTTGGAACAAACACCTTTTCAACAAATGCAAAATATCTTAGATTCAGTAATAGTGATTTCCTGTTTGCATTTGCTATTTTTATTTGTGTTTGCATCTAAATGGTTGAGATGATCAAGAAAGAAATGTGTTCCTCTAACGTATGTGGTGGTGCTGGTGATTTGCTTAATTTGGTAGAACAAATAGAATAGCAAAAAAACTGTCATCATTTAATTAGGATAAATTAATTTTGTAGTTCAGTTTTTAGCCTTAGATGGAGAGATTGGAAGACATTTGGACATATGCCAGAGCATGTATGCTCCATGTATGGAGCACTGGCATAGGTGGAACTTGTACCCTGTTATGGGATGCCACTGTGGTTTGCAGGAATTTTATTCAGACTAAAACTTTTGATCCTATTTAGACAGTTGATACAGATATTTCTAAAAATAGTTTTGAATTATTTTGATTTTTTTTTAATGCATATTTGAAAATACCATGTACCTTTCTAGTGCTTTGTCAGGTTCTGTTAGCCTTTATGCAGGTAGCTATCTGAATAGTCATCAGAATTAGCACGAAACTTTTTACTTCAATGCTAGTTCCCATTTTTGGTTTCTTTTTTTTCTGCCTTTGATTATTTACTTGATGATTAGCTCCCTTCTGTGGTTGAATTTCATCATCATTGGATTTCCATTTAGTATGTTCCACTATCCCACTGTCCTTTCTGTCTTGTATGTGAATTCCCTGTAGAAGTGGACTTAGAGTTGTCTGACTTGCACGACAGAGAGCAAGACCTCTCTGGAGGCTGTTATCAGTTGTAATAGCTGAGTATGATCTGGTAGTGTCTTTGCACTAGTAGGTAGTATTCATTGTGGTGGGTTTCCATGCTGTCGGTGTGTGTGATTTCTGCATCGGAGGTTTCAGGACAGGATGAGGATGTCAGCTGTGGTCACTTTTATGTCTGTACCACATGAAGAGTATTCCAGCAGAACAGGATCTGGTGATTACATAGGGAATATCTTTAATAGCTTTCCTTGGCCTTTCATCCCTCTGCCTTTATCTCTCTCTGAAAGTGGTTTTCACACTAATGACTTTGTTTCTATTCCCACTTCTTTCCTGTTTACTGTCTTGCACAAGAGAGGAAGGGGACCAGGATTCTCCGGGACTCCAGAGTCCCCAGTTCCTTCACCTCTGTTTCAGGACTGATGTGCTGGAAAAGTACAGTTTTTTAGGCCTCCGCAGGCTGTCAGTGCTGCAGCTCTCTGCTCTGAGGATGGAACCATGCACACGTATCCATCCATTGCTGCAGAAAAAAAAAAAATCCACGTGCTTGTGCAAGGTTCCAGTTATTAGAGGAGATGCTCCTGTTGGAAAGCTACTGCTTTGCTGGGCTGCTACTTTCCTTTCTTCCTCCCCTGTGGTCAGTGGTGGTGAGCAAACTTAACGAGGTTGCAGGAGAACCAGCTCCTGCTAATTGACAATATCCATTTGAGATTGCAGGGATGCTGAAGTTTAGAGTCTTGGCCCCATGCGTGTCTGTGACTTGGTGAGGAGCAGTACATGCCTACTGCATTATTTTTAATACTTTTTATTGGCAAATATTTTTACGTTGTTTTGTTACTCTCAAAAGAGTATTTCCTACCAGCATTTCAGTCATCCAGCTTCTCTCAAGGAAGCAACATTTTAGCTTTTTCACAACCTTCCTTGCATAGCCTGACTAGGTAGAGAAGGTTAGCAATTAGCAATTGCTAAAAGAGAAATGGTAAAAGTCTGTAGGATTTGCCATGTAAAAAGGTCTTTAGTTCTGGAAGTGATCATGGCTTTGCATGAACTGCTTGTAGATTATTTATTTTATGATAACTTGTAGGCACAGTTTTGAGCGTAATGCACAGTTGTGCTTCTCAGTGAGTTAGTCGTCTTTACAAAATGTAGCCACGCAGCCCATAGGAAGAAATATTAAGCCTTGCTTCAAAACCAAGTCCCTGTTTCTGGCAAAAAGCAGAAGTGCTTAAATGCAGGACGATGCATTTGGCATTCAGACTCCTGTGGGAATTTAATTGGGGACAAGGAATAAGCATTGAAGCCAGTAATAATTTCTGTATTTGGAAGATGGAAATTAAGGGTAATAAATCTAAATAGTGGTTCGAGGGTTCCCCCCCCCCCAACTTATATAAGAATTGTTTTGCAAAGCATTACATTTAGAGAGAGGTGTACAACTCCCCTTGAATAGCAGAGTGAAACTGAAGCTCCTGTGTGCGAGTTTGGTGTGCCTGCAGTTGCTCAGTTCCTAGCATGTTTTTTTATGTGTCTAAACTCTGTGTCTTTTCTTGTCTTTCGCCTTACGGACAGAAGATGTGCTTTCTCAGGAGAGGAGGCTTGATTCTGCAGTGCCCTGATGTGTCCAAATGTGGCTACTCAGGAGGGCTCAATTCCTGGCAGACCCAGAAGTGGTTTATGAGTGAATCTGGCTAAATAGTTGTCTATCCTGGGCTATATTCAGTAACTGGAGAAAATCTTGGGTTTGGCTCTTCTTTCTCTAACTGCTGCTGCAAGTACTTAATTATATGCTGACAAAAATGAGGAGGTCGATTGTTAAGGCTGGTGAATGAATGAAATGTTACGAGGAACTGTAAATTAAGAGTGTTCCAGAGAATGCCATACATACACTCCCAGGTGTATCGCTTTCACCATGATCAGTGAGTTTTGTATAAGATTTGAGGATAGCAAGCAGTCCCAGGCTTGTTATTCAATTAGAGTATAAAACCACTGAAATTTTTCTTTGACAGCTGAGAAATCAAATTTGCTTTTCACTGAAACGTTTAGTTGTTCTCGCTCTCAAAAATGTCAGTATTAGCCTTAATTAGTCCTTAAACATTTTTTGAATGCATTAAAAGAGCTAAAGCATGTGGCATTTTTTCCTGCTTTTGAAGTGACTACTTTGCAAAGTAGATTTCCATGTTTGTTTAAAGAACCCTTTGCATAACTTGCAGGCACTACAGTGATAGTGGATACATTGTCTAGAAGCTCGTGAGTTTATTTTTTTAGAGAAAGCGTCATTGTTCGTACAAAGTACGAGTCAGATTTTTTTTCCTCTCTTGGACCTTTGGAGGATAAACGTGTTGGTTATTGAAGGCCTATACTGGAGCTCTGCATGTGCTTACAATGTTGATTTGTAAAGATATGCGATGTGTTGTTCGGCTGTAGTGACTATGAAGATGCAGTGTAACGTGGTGAAGACTAGTAAAACATGACCTCTTTTTTTCAACGCCATCTTTATTGAACAGACTTTCGCAAGGAGAGGGTATGAATACAGGTTTCTCTTGAAAATTCACACGAGTATTTTTGCTTGCACATTTTTAATTTGACTGTTTGCATCTAGAAACCTAATTCAGAGTTGGATTTGATTAGCAAATTAAGGCAAGACACTGTTCGGTAGCTGCTAAGGTATCTGTGAATTACTCAGTTCCAGACTGGGTGAATGAAAAAGGTGCTGAGTAGATGACTGTTAAATCCTAACCCTTGTGGATTTATATTCTCTATTTTAAATAATAAAGTTTATTGACCCTTTAATAGGAAAAAAAAATATACTCACTTACCCTGAGTGCATATTTTGTATCTTACACCTGTCTTAAATAGATTCCAGAATTAAATTACTAAATTAGAAGCCTGTTGGCATGTATCCTGTTAATGGAATTCTATTTTATATTGTGATGGTGTTCCTTTGATTTCCAAATAAAATTAAAATCCATGAAGACTGTAACTTGAAGTCTTGTGTACTGAGAACAAAGGGGAGCTCAGTCCGCTGTCATGGGAGAAAGTTTGGAGTCAAGAATAAATGGAACTATACTTGTGCTTTAAATAAAAGATGATTGGGTTACTTCTAATAGAGAACACCAGTTAAGGCAGTCATAATTTACATGCAGCTTTATCATGCAGTTCAGAAAGGGTTTGTTGATGCTTACAGAAGATAGTCATACTCTTTTTAATCGCAGCAGCCAGTTTTTCTTAATCATCATTACCAAGACCTGTACAGCTTATTTGTTTATACATGTATTTTCTATTTTCAAATGGTTCAAGGATTAGATCTTGTAATAGACAAAGATATTTCAAACCATCTCAATAAATATTTGTACATTTATCCCTGACCTCAAATATCTAAATCACTTTGATAAGAAGATAGCTTTCAGGACCCTTCTTTGCTTCTGTCTTGTCAATTTTCTCTCTCTTTTTTTTTTTTTTTTTTCTTCCACCTTTTGGCTATTAGCATGATTTGGTTATGTTGCTTAAATGGATAGAACTGAAAAAGAGATTTCTTTTTTCCCACATATCTGAGGGGAAAAAAGATTGTCCTCTTTGCAACTGTTTTAGCATAATGTGTCATGATAGCCTAGTACTCTTGGGCAACGAAGAAATGAATTTATTTTCCCATTGTAATGTTTATATGCTTCATGTTTAGGTCATGTGACATTTCTTATTAACTTAACTTTAGAAAGTTTGCTGCATGAATCTTTCGTGTTTTGGTTACAAAAATGCATTTCAGATTCCATATTTTCAGTCATATGTAATGTTAATAATATTTTGAGATGTCCTTTAATATTGTTAAGACATTTTTTCAAAGTTAACCGGACTATTCAAAAATAATTAAGACCATTCTGTTTTCTGCAGTACTTTGGAAGCTTGCTTGTAATATTCTGTGTTGAACTGGCCTGTGGTGTTTGGACCTATGAGCAGGAAATAACGGTGAGTCAGAAGAGGAGGCTGCATATTTTCAACAGAAGAAAACAAAGATTTCCATTTGCTAGCTGTTTTCTAATTGCTGTAATGTTTATCTTTGTTCATTATTCTGACAGTCTCATTTCAAGTGACTGCCTTTTTTTTTTTTTTTTTTTTTTCCAAACTGAGAATTCTTCTGGGAAAGCTTGTCTGTCTGGAAGGTCCTGTCTGGGTTTTCCCCTGTGTTTGAGAGCCAAATCCTGCAGCCCCTGATTTAAGGACTTTATTTTTTGTTAATTCTTGCTTAGGTAGGTTCTCGTTGAAGTCAGTGGAAGTTTTGAGGGTAAAGTATGAACATCAGGCTTAAGATAAGTATTTTGAGAGAGGAAATGTGAGAATTTGAAGGGATTTTTGCCCCAAAAGTTCTTCATGTTTTAAAGAGCTATAGCTGAGTGTACTACATTATAAACAGATGATGTGTTCTTTCAATAGAGGACTTGCTGTATCCTGAAATCTTCACAGTGCCTCCACAAGCTATAAATGCCAGTTTTAAGCAAAACATGTCTTAGCTATAAAACATGCTTCTGTAAACTTGTGAAGAGGTTTTATCTCTGTCTAGTTTTTATAGCTGTACCTACCTTTAATTTTCAAACTGAAAACTTGTAAGCATCGTGCAAGAAGTGAGGATGAAATGAGCAGAAATTAAACTGAAATGTTATTCTGCTGGCTGCTATAGCCTTACGTCTTGTACTCGGTCTGGTACGTTTTTATGAATAGAAGAACAAATACTTTCTCTGAGCTGCCAAGATATGCCCAATATATACTGGTCTTTCCAACAGTGAGTGGCAATTACATTGCAGTAAGATGGGAGGGAGCCTTCTTGATATTTACATGGTACTGGGACCAAAGGAATTCCTGGCAGATCTGAAGCCTGAAGTTACATGGTGGCACTTTGCGTCGGCATTCATTCCCTTGCAGTACAGATTCCAGAGGGGATGTTCTACTATAACACTGATTAAGGCTATCCCTTCACTTTAAATGTCAGCTTACGTTGATGCATTTTAAAATTGGGAATGCAGACAAGAGGCATGCTTCATCCTATGGGCACAGCTGCCCTCTGCGGGGGTTTTGCCAAGGATGACAGAACTAACACCCATCTTTCCACAGAAATCTTGTCAGTGGAAGCTGCCTGAAATAACATAGCCTTCAGTGCACTGGTACGTGCCTTCTCCAACCTTCACTATTCAGTTAGAGAACCTGAACTTATGTTGTGTTTTAGTGTGACACCCCCCCCCCCCCAAGCTTTTAGTTACCTGCTATGCTACTGAAACCCAAACCTGGGACAGTTTGTAAAAGCTGGCATAGCCCTACCATATGTTAAGGCGCTGGTGATGCTGCTTCACTCACAGCTGTCCCTGCACCCCTTTGCCAAAAGAAGCAGCGCTTATTTCCATGTCTGCACCTTCTGCAGTGGGGTCATGGTGAACCCAGATACTCCATGCTCCTCTGATGGTTCTGCTTTCTCCCAGGAGTTCGAGAGTGTGAACATGAACATGCAAATAGAACAGAAAAAAAATCTCTTCAGCAACTGCCTTTCTTTTTTTGTCTTTTTTCTTCTCTCCCTTTATATATGTCTTTATTCCTAATCTCCTGAAATATTGTGTTGGGTGTCTTTTTTTTTTTCTATTTCCATACGATTTCCTCTTTTTATTCCCTTTGTCCTAACACTGCTGTTCTTCATGTGATGAGGTGGGCCGGACTCATGTTTCTTGCTGCTGAGACCTGTAGGGAATGTGGCAGTCTGGAAGAGCATAGTTGTTTTTTCAGTTGTTCTTTCATACCTGTGCAGGTCACTTCTCTAGAGCATACTTTCTGCTACTGTACTTTATAAAAATAAGAAGACTTCCCATTATACCCATGGGGTTAACTTGATGTCATGTTGGTTTCAGCGTAGCATGAAATCACACGAGTCCCTGGTGGGTTTCAGAGAATCAGTTGGCATTAGTGCGGGTGGGTGATGTTGTCAAAAATGTCACTGAGGCATAACCGCCTCTGCTAATCCAGTATGGGCTCTTCTTGGCGTATGGACAAGTTGCTGTAAGAGTTGCTTGTATAAACAATTTTCCTTCTAGCTCATGATAGCTCTCAGCGTGAAGTGTGCCTCATGACTAATTTATTCCACCCACAAGATTGAAAAGCCAGTGTGGGTTCTTGGCTTACTTAGGCATTGGTCAAGCCTTGATACTCGTTAGAAAAATAATAATGAAGCTCGGCAAACCAATCTTTACAGAACTTATGCTAAAATCAAACCAGCATCTCTAGTTTTTGTTTGTCTACACACTAGAAAAGTGTTGGTGTATAGTCAAACAAATGCATCTCAAGATCATGTATTATTGTGCACTACTGCATGCATGAGCTGATGGGAAACCATTTAGTAAATAGATTGATGTCCTTAGTTTGACATGTTGGCAGTCTTGGAACAGTCCAACACACAGATTCCAATATCCCTCCTTAGCTCCAGTATTCAAATTGTCTTCCTACAGTGGGGTTTAGTTTGATTTGACTTGCTTTTAATTTCCTTCTCTTACTTCTTGATTATTATTTTTTCCTGCTTTCCATTGTTTTCATAAAGAAGTTGGACGCCTTGTGTTACATGCGTAACCTTGGACTGTATTCAACTCAAATAAGATAATAAAAAAATAGTCCAGCAAATATGAACTTAATTGCAGTGATATCAAATATTATACAAAGAAAGCAGAGTGCTAACTTCCAACGCAGTGGAAAGAGAAATGTGTTAAGTTCAAAACCAAATTATTTTATTATAGTGACCAGTTGAAACATTTGTGGTAGAAATATTCTGTGATACTGGTTTTAAGTATTTTTAGTACTCTAATGCTAACATATTTTTCATGTAGACAATTGTGAATTTGGTGCTTTATAGCCTAAATAAAAATTCTGTTAAGTGACAGGTGTGTAAAATTTCTGGGATATTATTGATATATTCATACTCATAATATATGAAGCTTTACCAGCACATCAAAAACATAGTATATCTTAGCAGCACTAATGAAACATTATCAAATGTTCTTATTTGGATTATGGGGTCAGTCAGGCAGTAATTGTCCCTGTATTTTTGTAGAGCATCTAGCACAACAAAGTCCAGGCTCCTTAGGAAGTATTGCGGTGATTTTTTTTTTTTTTCTTAGATTACATTTATTGCTATTTGCAGAATGCCCTTACTGTTCACTCCAAATAGAACAGGATAGCGAAGTCACAGCCGCAAAGAGGAGCTGGGCTCTCCCGTCCTCCACATGAAAGCTGATACTGCAATTGTGATTTCTTTCACCATGACTATTAAGGCTAATGGGAACAAGGCAAAACTCAGCATGAGTGGTATGTGTGCCTAGAAGGGCAACCACAGTCTTCAGCTCCTTGTTTTAGTTTGGCACACTGAAATTTGTGCTGCTGGACAGAAGTTGGTTTCTTATCTTGACTCTTAACTGCATTGTATGCCAGATGCCATAGCACTTGCTTCTGTTGTTTCTAACAAATTGCTGACTGAGGGCCATAGTCTGACAATGGAGAACACCGGCACCTCACTTCTGAGTAGTCAAATTTGAAAGAAAAATACTTTGAGAATCCTTCTTTCAGAAGAAAATATTTACAAGGCAATGAGTGTGTGTGAAGAAAAAAATTCACAGGGCCTCATTGTCTACACTTCCTTGTTACTGTTCTTGAGCAATGTACTGAAATAGAGTACATGCAGGATACCTGTGTGCAGGATTCCAGGCAAAGCCAAAAAGCCACTGAAAAGACTCTCAGGGTAGAATTCATCTCAATTAATTTTATATATTTAGAAGATGAATGTTTAAGTTTGCCTTAGACAGTGAAGAGAGACTTTGAGAATTCACTGGATTCTTCTGCAGTGTTTAAAATATGTATCTTGAGATGAACTGCCCCACGTGGCTGCCTGTTTCTCTCTATTGACTAAGACATCAGGGAGATACCTAAACTGGGGCAAACAAATGCCATCCCTGATGACTTGGATGGGACTTAGTTCACGTTTTATGCTAGGTAAAAAAATCTGGCAATGATAAAATTGAATTGTTCCCAGCTATCTCTGAATCTCTCCGAAATGCAGCTCCTTTTCCAGGGTACATTAATTTGTAAGCAAAGGATACAAATAACTTTTTCCTGATGTTTTAATAAAGGCTTGTAAAGTTTCAATATCATAAAAATTGAAGCACTTGTTTTCCTGTTTTATTTGCATACAAAGTTATTTTGGTCATAGCACTTAAAAGATCTCGAAACAGATGGAAGTTCTGGGTTTGGAGGCACAAGCCAACTGATCTGTTGTGTGAATTGTTTCTCTTTCCTTGCTCCAGGTTCCAGTGCAGTGGTCCGATATGATCACGCTGAAAGCTAGGATGACCAATTATGGCCTACCTAGGTACCAGTGGCTGACCCACGCTTGGAATTTCTTCCAGAGGGAGGTAAGATGACAATTAATTCGTGAACTGAAGTAATACATGTTTGGTAAATGTTATTTATCTACTAAAGGAAAAGGTTTTTAACTGAATAGGTAAATAAATGCAAGTTCATTTCATGTGAAACCCTGTGTAGTGATGATACCTTTTAATGTCACTTGATATTCAACTCGTGAGCTTTTGTAGGCCCTAAAGACACTAAAATGCCAAAAAATGTTACTAAATTCAGTTAAAGTGCTAACACTGTCTTCTCCTTTACCAGTAAGGTTAGGACATCAGCACCTTTTAGGTTTATTATAATGTTTAAGAGTATGATGTATATAAAATTAAAAATCTGCAGGTAAGGTAAAATTAACATTTCTGTATGCTGTTTTAATGTTAAACTGTGCTTCTCTTCCTGTGGGCTCTTTTAGCTTCCTTTCATGGAGCTGTCATGGTTAAGATATGTGTTTAGCTGGAAATGAGTGGGAAAGGTTAAGTTTCCGAAAAGATGCCAACACTGTCTCTTTGGCTGAGGTTTGAGAAAGTGATCAGGGTTTTTATTTCCTTTGACTGGGGGGGGGGGG